TATACGTAGCGCGTTCAAAAAGTATCGGGACTAATTTTATTAAAAAAACAATAAGAAGCGTTATTGTTCTTAGCTTTTAGTCTATGTGTAGTTGGAACAGTGCCCCATCTATAGATATCATAATCATTAACCAATGAAATATCTATGTGCAAAAAAAAAAAGATTTTTATCAGATCACTCTTTATACACTGATGGAAATTCAAAAGCTTGAGCATCGTTCAGTAATAAAGTTTCTTGTTTTGGAAGGACATTCTCCATCCAATATTTATGAACGTATGGTGGTAGTTTATGGTGACCATGCTCCATCACGTACAAGAGTTTTTGAATGGGCTCATCGTTTTAAAGATGGGCGATTAAGTATTGAAGATGATCCTAAATGTGGTCGACCAATTACTCTGGGCTCCGATTCATCCTATAATTCCTATAATTCCTATTTTTTTGACAAATCCTATATTTTGTCCTATATTTCGATTGATTTTCCTATTTTTCCTATATTTTGTCAAAAAAAGTGGAAAAATTTTACGAGATTTGACTTTGCCCTGAGGAAGAGTACGGGGATCTTCGCGGCGCTACCCGCCCCCACCCCCTCGATGATCACTTTTTACGAAAAAACCAGGTAATGTGAATAGCTGTTTCTTGCAAGTAAAGCACATACATTTGAGATGCAGTTCAACGTACAATATCTAAATTTTGGTCAATTTTTTACCTTTTTTTAGTGAAAATAATCGTATAATTCAGAAAACGAAATCCTATATAGGAATTTCTATAATTTCGAAAATTTGTAATCGGAGGCCAGTACATGGGGCTAAACTTTTGATTGCTGGAGGTTGTCAGGCCATACGATTATGGGGGGAAGGAGGAGATTTCCCCTCCCTAATTCTTTTTTAAATTATAGCTTTCTCCCTGAAAATTTTACGAACACTTAGCGGCTTTTTATCTTTTAGTAGGTCGAATGAACTATACCTAAGAGAACCAGTTCTTTTCTCTAATGCAAAAAACTTTCTCTTAATACCATAAGGAGAACTAGTTGATGTGTCATCAAGAGACTTAATCTAATAAATCGTTGAGAGAAAATAGTTCAATTTCAAAGAGAAAATACGTCAAATTCAAAGAGAAAATAATTCAAATTAAAAGAGAAAATGAGTCGGTTTCAAAGAAAAAAGAAATCAATCCGTACTTAAAACAATACTGCTTGTTTAACCCTTTGGGGACGGGGTTACTGTACTATATGAAGCACACATATGTGCTTCCCGTTCTCAAAGGGTTAAAGATTTCTCCTATCTATTCAGAAATGCTTTTGATTAATGTAAATGTAATGGCACGTATGTTCAAGTCATACGACTAGGGGGTGGAAGATGGGGGATTTCTACCAGGTAATTTTTTCCTTGCGTTCTACCTTTCTCCCTGGAAATTTTCGTTAGCTGCTGTTTAAGGCGTTTTCAATAGAGCAAGGATTCTCCTTAATTTTCAAATTGAAACAGTCGTTTTCTTCTAAAAAGAAATTTTACTTCAAGATTTCAAAGAAAAGCAGCCGTTTTTTAGAAAGAGAATGCTTTCTCTTTAGGTTTTCAGGGAGAATCAGGCACTTTCTTCCAAATAGAAAGCTTTCTTTGAGTTGTGACTATTTTCTTCCTGACTTTGGGAGGCTTTCTCCCTGGCTTTCTCCCCCTCCTATATAAAACCAAACGAAAGCTCTGGAGGTCGTGAAAAATTAACGTCAGTTAATGAACAACAGCAACAACTTACAAATGAGCTCGATAAACTTCGATTAAAAAGAAAAGATGCTTTTTTTCATGAACAATCGATCAACAAGAAACTGAAATCCATCCAACAGAATCAACATAATATAATAGACTTGATAGATAATACTTAATGATTGTTATTCAAGTTTTTTGTCTATTTATAATCGAGTTATATTTTTATAAGTCAAATTTAATTATGAGAAATAGTATTTGTTTTTTTCATGTATTTATTTTTTCAAAGTTTATGATCTACTTTATTGTTATTTATTGATTTGTGAAAAAGTTTTATAATTAAACTTTATAGTGATCCTCGAATTAACGACTTATTTCAGTAGAAAGAAATTATATAAGAATCTTGGTTATGGTTGAGCTGTTTATAACAGCTTCATTAAAACGATTTTCGAGCAGAGAAGTTAAAAAATACCAAAACAATTGAACAGAAACGATCTATAAAAAATCCTATATTTTTGTCATTTTTTATCGAAAATCCTATATTTTAGACAAACTTGATCCTCTAAGGATTCCTATATTTTTAAAAAATCGCAATCGGAGACCAGCAATTACTGCAACGGACGATCAAACTGTTAAAGCTATTGAAAGTCTAATCATCGAAGATCGCCGAATTACAATTCATCAAATAGCAGATGCCGTAGGTATTTCAACCGACACAGTAGATGGTATCATTCATGATCAATTACATATGACTAAAGTTTCTGCAAGATGGGTACCACATTTACTAACACCTGATCAAAGATATGAACGTGTTCAAGCATGTCAAGAACTTTTGGCTCGCTATTCAACGGAAGGAAACGACTTTCTTTTTCGAATTATAACTGGTGATGAATCGTGGCTTTATTATTATGATCCTGAAT